ATATATATATTGGAACCTCACTAATGTGTGGATAGTCATATGGAGACATTGGACTAACGTGAGCTACACTAACTCTGCCAGATTTTGTAAACGACTGTACTTCTACAAGATTTGATACATTTATATATATGCTCATATGTACATGTGTATGCATATACATATGTATACGGCATGCAAGAGTTGGACGTCGATATTGGGAGACCGGCAATTCTTAGTATCGATTATTGTGCTAAAACTGAGAATTGATCCTCCCAAAATAACTAGAAGACCTTAAGTGCATCAACGTTCATCATTTTGAAACAATTTGACATTACTGAGATACTAGGCGAGCAGTGAGTTTGAGACAAATTTGTCTGCGAACATAAGCATAAGCCACTAGGAATGAACTTACAGTGTCCAGTGGGCAAGTTTGTTGATAGATTTTTGAACAATTATGTGCTGTTGATTTGGATCTGAAGTGAAAGTGAGTCGTTTTCCTGGCACTGGCGATTCCTCCACCTCATTTACCGCCATCATCTCATACGGTTGTTCCAAATTCATTTGATCAGCAAATAATTTCACTAAACGTTCTTCGCGTGAGTTGACGCATTGTAAGTTTGATTTTTGTGACAGTTTTCGGTCAACCTTCATCCGTTTCTCATTCGGAGACGTCGATTTGATAGGTATGAGATCACAATCGTGGACGTCAGTCGTTTCATGTAATGTGGTCCAAGCGCCTTTCCAGTATCGGACATGACATGAGACCATGTACTGGCAAAATACATTGGTAGTAAAATTGATGAAGTATATCGTGTCCAGATTTTGGAGTTCGTATACTATTCAGAATCCGCGGTTTAACAGCAATTCATGGAAAACCTCGTGCCAAAACCTTTTTTTGATACTCCCATACGTACAGTGATTTCAACCAACATTAGCATGTGAAACTAAGAAGGCTGTATCATGTGATCCAAAGTGCAGGGTGAGATCATACCAAGAAACAACTTCATGTCGAATTTCCGTTATGAATAAAACATCATTAGGATATATTTCTGCTTGTTCTTTTCCCGCTTGAGGTCAAAATATAGATATTTCAGGCACCTTCACAAAGTTTGTCTTTGGTTCTGTTTGCTGGCTTGAAGTATTATTGTTGGGGTCTGTCGAGCAAATATACTTCTGATGAGTCTACTTCAGCTGAACACTAGTGCTATGAAATCAAATAAGGCAAAGTATGTGGAAACCACATAAACCTAACTGAGCCTTTCTTTGTTATAACTCAACTTTCGATGGCCGCTGGATTACATTATTCAAAATGTGTTTCATTGTTGGAAATTGATTACTGTCTTCTATCCTTACTGTATATAACAGGAGTCCTCCTCTTGTTGCTTCCGTTTTGTGTCGTGCCTACATCCAAATTCTTTGTTGCTAACTCAAAATAAACCGCCTTTTCACCTTGTTATCAAGAACCTAGTTAAATGGAGAAAAATGGTTAGACGTGCTTTTTCCCACCTAACGATCTGTACATTTTGGATAGCCAACTCGATGTCTAGAAGTGATCTCAAGACTCGCTGGAACTCCATGAGCGGTTCAACTTTAGGGGTTTTGTGCGCACCTTAATGTGGCACTTCTGAAAGTAACAAGTAACAGATCCATCAGAAGGCCCAATTAATTATTACACATCAGATGTTGACTTTTTGTTGGAGGACATGCTATAACTCCATGTGACAACATTCAGCTTTGAAAACTTCCTAGACGATTCAATCTCTTTGACGTTTGCACTCCACTCCACAAACAAACCTGCTAAACCAAACATCGTATATATTTCACCAGTGATACCGATTTCCGCTTGTAGCGTCGCTCTCTCTATTCACCAATTAATTAAGTTCAAACCTCTTTTCACTCCTTTGAACTTGACCAAATTAGGAACCGTTGCTTTATATTCCGAATCAGCATGTGTTAGAACAGTTCTGCTTCGTGTGTTGAGTAGGTAAATGCCGTGCTGTCCTCATAAATACTGTAATTTGGAGGGCTTTTTGTGACATTGCATATGTAGAAAGACCTTTCGAGAAGAGGATATTAATTTTTTCTTAGCAAATTATACAACTCAGCCAGAACACAATAAAAATATCCAAGCAGTTATCCTTGGTTTGGCTTGAGAGCTTTTCAGTCAGTAATGAAAAGCCGATGGAATTTGACAGTTGACACACCCTGAGCTCAACGTTTTCAACGATCAGCTGAGTTTAATGGTTATTGCAGTCAGTGGAGATTTGACCATTATGGTAAAACAAACCAGAAGTCGTCATTTCCAAAACAATAGGGGGCCATATCGTTGCACGCTGCTGGTTAAACAGACGAAATTCCCAAATATCCCAACGATCTCAGTTTCCTTTAGAAATGCCATAGCTGGCCAAATAAATGTCTATATGTTGCTTATATTGCAAAATGTTCGGTTATATTTACTAACCTGAGGAGGTCGACCTTGTCCGCTGTTGATAAAACCATGGGTGGCGGCGAAGTTTCCTTAATACCTAATCTCCCGAAGCGGTAAACTGACTTCTCCGGGTTGATTGCTGGATCTCAAGCAGGCCTCTTGAGGTGGTCTTCACCAGAAACAACACTCACGTCGAACGTCGCAGTGAGAGTTTTGACTGGCAATGTCACAGGCGGACATAAAATCCATAAAACCACTTCTACTTGACCCTCAGCGTGAAAGACGCCCATTGCATTGGTTTGCACAGTTGAGGTTCTGCGAAGTATTGGTGATGTCTGCAGTTACAGATAGCCACGGGAGGTCGGAAGTTACAACACTTTCTCGGTAATTGTTTTTCCACGTCCTATGCATGGTATCTGGGGGCGATATGGACTAAGTGGTTAGAGCGCGAAATACTGACCGGAAGGTCCGTGGTTCGAACTCGACCTCTGTCACTCGACTTCCCCATGTCAAGGCCTGGGTGACCTGGCAGTATCCCAGCTCTCGTGCCTCCTTCGTGTGGCACGGCAGCTAGGCACCGAAAGGGTGCTAAAACTGAACGACTTTATTTTTTGATACATGGCCTCTTAGTAATGATTTTGGTAAAAATGCTTTGATTTGCTGCTATATGTACGATATACACCCTCTAAGTTTGTCATCGAATACCAAAAAAGATCACCCTTTGCAATTGAAATTTATTTTCAACAGGATTCCGATATAGCTGATTTACATGAACTCTTTGACTCTTAAGTAGGTCGTATCGAACATCTTTTTTTGGCGAGTTACCCTTTGTCACACTTCTCAGCTGACAACCAGATGTGTACCGATTACTCATCGTTGTGCATCTAAGACCAACGACTCTTCAGGGCTTTTGAAAAAAATTTCCTTAACTTTGTTGTTGTATTGAATTCAAAATCTCTGTTCAGATGGCTAATTTTAAATGGCTCAGATTTCTATCTCAAATGGCAACTATGTAAGTGAAATCAATTATGACGGTAAACTCGGTATTTCAGCGAAACGTCGTTTGGTATTAACTGATGTACATACAATCTAAGTGAGCTACTTTGCGAAATCTGACTTGTATGCTCTAATCAGGTAACTCTGATGAGTTCCGCTCGGTCAGAAGATCAATGTTTGTTTGCAGTGCTCTTATCGTTCATCAAATGACCCTCTATGACTGGATGAACCTGACATACAGTTACCATTGTGAGCTACCTAAATGATTGGCCGACCAGAGAGTTGCCATTGGACATTTTGTTTTCCCAGAGGTGCTACAACCTGTGATTTACTAGCATTGACTGATCTGACTAAATATATTCTGTATCGGAATCTACCAGCGGCCGATTAGAGGAGCTGCTGCAAGGGATAACATTCTGGGTGATTAGCCACAGTCCTTTTGGCGGAAACATTCCGGAAGTATCTCATTGTTTCGCAGTTTAGAAATACCGGTAACAATCAGGATGGATGATATATATATATATATAGATACATATATGAAAAGTAAAGACCGTGTCCCGTGGACACGGTTTCCAAACACATGCTTAACACATTTGCTCCCTAGTTGTCTAAATTTTAAAACAGTCTACAGCTAACCACTTTGTTTGACGGCAGCCTTAAACACGGTGTGGAATGAAACCACTTAAAGGTGTAATTTGTGCAGAAATTCTTCAACTGCATAGGTTAAAAGCAAAAAACAAACATTTATTCGGTAGCATGCCCCGTTAGCTACCACCAGCCATTACTTGAAATGTCCCTCCGAAACATTCGAACTACCTTAATAAACAACCAAATTTTTAATACTGTAAACATCAACAACGCAACAAAACCCACTAAGATACGCTTCCTGGTGCGGGATAAGTATTCAAAAGTGGCAGTGTACTCACTTCCGGTTTGATTTTCTTGCAGAATTTCAGAGATTCACTTTGATTTGAACCGGATGTCCGACATGCAGTTGGAAGCATGCGAAGAATAAATTTGTACTGTGGACCAGAAATATACTGGAACGAGACATGACGATTGGCCAAGAGTGACGCGTACTCACCTCGATTGTGGGATCCTCAATGGTGAAAACGTCGTACCAGTAAGGACTGTCAATCCCATTATTGAACAAACTGACCGCCTTATTAATCAATGCTTGAAAATGTTTAGCTGGAACCTCCCGTCCTAACAGTGGGCGAGGAGGTTTGTATTCCCCAAAGTACACATAATCGCAGTCGCGCAATTCATTCACTCGCTCCTTGTCCGATTCGTTAAATTTCGCCTTACATCTGACAAAGTTCTAGTGATGACAACAGATAACCGATGGGTAATTTTAGATAGAGCTCTGTATACCGCATCATGCATATATTTATGACTATATATGACGACGAAGTAGGTTACAAAATATCTACTCGTTTTGCCGCATGCAATATTGGAAACATACTCTCTGTTGGACGCCGACGAACATATGCTATGCTAGGCAACAAGTAAACACATAAAGCGTTACATCCCATATCCAATCAGTCTTCATAAATCTGACCGCCATAAAAATAGTAACTTAATCCACCGTCAAGATGTTCATCCACCATAGGAAATATGCACACCAATTTAATTTAGAATAATCGAGATTGTGTAAAGTTTGCTGTCCATAATATTATGGGGGATTACTTTCCACATGAACCATCACTATTTTCTCTAGAGAAGTCGTGCTGAAGATTTTTAACGAGTAACGAGATAAAGTATACAGAAAGCAAGATAGTACAGAGACATATCAACCTCTGTTTTCAAAAACCGAGGTAAATAAAGGACACAGCTTGTTTTAGCTTATAATCTGTCATTCATACCTTTGGTCGCACGAAGGTATGCCTTCAGTATGATTCTCACTAGCTTGCATCATACATGTTTGTGCCTACGCATTTACCGTGTAGGCTCCAAGTTGATAATTGAAGAGTTATTATTGATTCCGGAAAAAGGCTTGTCAGTGATGGTATTCTGATGGTTCCAGGACTTCTGTGTCCAAGGGACAACGAAATCAAGCCAGCGTATTCTACGGAGTGTGGTAAGTTCATCTATTATGGGTGACTTATTTCTTCCAATACCATACGACGTACTTCGGCATTGCCAAATCAATTCCCGAAGACATCAGTGGAGGAACATTGAAAATCTTTTGATATCCTGGGCGCGCAGTGGCCAAGCTTCTGATCTGTATAGTAATATCTAGCGCATCGCAGCACAGTACATTAGACCCTTGACGGATAATCTGATGTCACACCTGCGCTACAGACGTCACAAGTTCTCAAAAATTGCTTTGGTCTTCTCAAACCGGATAGAAGTGTACTCTTTCGCAGGACCACCTGAGACTGATGCAGCTCGCCAGTTAGACGAAATTGCCTACTACCTCCATCGGCTTAAGCTCACCCAGTCTTGCAGTAGCACTTTACACTTTGGAAGTGGAACGAGCATGCTAAACCGCGATCCGAAGCACTTACGGATGCGCTTCCACCCAACAGGCAGTAAAGACTGATAGGGAGTCTCTCATTATAATATCAGTGACGAAGTTCAAGAGGACGTGTGAAGGAGGACAGCCCTATCTGACATCACTAGACGAAGTAAACCCAAATGAGAGCCTACTGTAGGCCTTCACACTTCCATGGGAGTAGGCATACAGCGACCTAAGGAGGGTCAATAAATTATGGGGTCATCCTTGTTCCATAGGCACTACCATAGTGCCTAACGGTCAAAGGCAGCTATCATATCATTAAAAACAAATATTGTTGGTTTCTGGAAGCAGTGTTGCTTTTCGAGAATTTGTCGGGGGTGAAGTATGACTGACGCATCCTCCTACAGGACGGAACTCAGCTTTGTTTTCACAGACGTGTATCTCCCTGTTCTCGGTCAACCTTAGAAGGTAAGACCAAAAAGTACCTTCAGTGCCACAGCTAACAGACTGGTGACACAGTGGTTTACGCAAGGTATCCTTATACCACTTCTGAAAAGAGGAATAACTGTTGTCATGCCCCACTCCACAGACACTTTCTCTTTGAAGCACATCGCGCCAATAAGCCTTGTTAGAAATTTTGAGAAATTTTTTGCAGAATTTTTCTGCCCTCTTTGAAGTGGTCTGGATACAAACCAAAGAGTCCTGGTGCCTTCGAAAGTTTCAGCATGGCTATTTCAAACTTTATTTCTTCTGGCAGGCGATTAGGATTTAAGTTAGGTTAAGGCTTTAGCGCTAAACACTAAAAGTCAGCTGTCTTCCGACGGCTCACGTCACGTACTGCAATCCACCAAATAAGTTCACGTGTAATTTTCCTGATTCCTTCCAGCTGACACAAACGGGTTCAGTCGGGATCGCTCACCTTCCAACTCTAAGGCTTCCATGCATTGAGTGAATAAGCACAAGACGTTTCAATCTTAACGGTTAACCGACCCACTATCCGTTCATGTGGTCAAGTGCAAGACGATAACAGGCCCCTGAATAGTCTGATTATAAATCTGTTTTCTGACTTCTTCCAATGATTTAGTTGTTTATGTTAGGATGAGCGGTCCACTCCGCCCACGTGGCTTTGAAAGTTAGCGCACTTGAACAGCGTTAGAAACAAAGCCACAGTAAGTCTACCTTATTTGCTGACGACGTGCGGGTTACTCTGAATTGTCCAATTTCTGCATCCAGTGGGCCATTCAGTCAAAATAAATTAGGACTAAATAAGGAAGGTCTTAATCCTCATCTTAAAACATGGTTGGAGGCTTCTAGGTTGATTACTGACCTCTTGTGTGTTACTAATTTGCAGTATCTCACTGGTGGGAGCAAACTAAGGTAAAAACAGTTAAGAGCAAAGGTAACGCAACGCTTTTGTGGATGTGAGATGCTTTGTAGTGTATTTGTCAACCAGGGGTTGCTTATTCCAATCTTGTCTCATAGTGGTAAATTGGGAAGGCTCCGTGTCAGGTAACGCCGTAGTGCATTCACTCGCCTCGTCTTGCATAATTCTTACCCCTCCCTCTTCAAACAGAAATCCACCGTCTTTCTATCCGAAATTGGCTGACTGAACAAAACGCAACACAACGTTTACACTTCCCAATTATAACACGCACTGTAGGCAGTAATCTGGGAATCAAAATAACAAAATGGATTACCTGAGGAATTTGTGCACCCTTGCATTGATCTAGCATGTCACGTACCAAATACAGCTCGTCGTCCCACCTCCGACAATTAGTTGAACGCAAAATTAGATTGAACTCCGTTTTGGTTCGGTGTTTCCGTCTAAATTAAAAGGTCTCGAGGAAGGGAGCAATCGTGAAATCCAACTTACTGCTCGAGTGATGTGATCAGCCAGCTGGTGTCGGTATAGCATATTTTCGCCAGAGGCAAACTTGAAAATGGACGTTGAATCAGTGAGCATTTGCTTGAATATAGCACTTGCTTGAAAGTCATCCGAGATAGATTGAACTGGAATAGGGTTGTCTACTGTTGACAACCGGCATTTATTCAGGTCGATTTTGTTAAAAATAATTTCCCCACGCCATTTTCCACATTTTGACTGTGCACACAGTGAGGTGCTAGTATGAAATCAAACATCAAAATATCAGTAAAAAAAGTAGGCATTATACCTCCTTTAGTTTTACAGGGACGTTATCTGAATGCTTATATGGTGAAGCAGGTTATCAAAGGCATTGGTGTATTAGACTAAGGCGATTCAACAGATTATTCGCACAGAACGACAACAGTTTTACGCAACTAAAACGGGATTTTTACCGCTAAAATTAGTACACTGAATGCACGACCCACCATCATTACAAAACGTCTTATATGTTCGAAAAACGAAGGGGTTCGAAAAACAAACATATGTGACTACCAGTTACACAGCAGTGTCCAGATTTGGACGCAGCTGAAGATTAGCGAATGGAGCTGTACAGGTCCCTGTATTGTAACTGAGATGTGTCTTTGTATGGGGCCTGGAGACGACACTACATGACTACAACAGGGCTAATGTCGCGTATTTTCCGCACTAGTATTTTAGTGTACCCAAATAAATGTGGGATGTAAAAATTAAAAAAAAAACAGAGTAACTCACAGTATTGTTCAACTTTACACACACCTGAGGTTCCTGCTCGGGTTGCCAAAGTGCATACTTATCTTTTAAACAGCCCGTTCGCTGTAGGTATAGTGTGTAATTACGTTCACTGCCCATCACCTTCAAATGTTGACTTTTATACTGGAACAGTTTGAGCATACCTTTGCACTTGAACTATCAATTCGAAAAAGACGATGATAGAACGAGTCGTTTAGCATGTTGTTAAACTCTCAAAAGATATCTCTCAGTTCGATTCGAAACTCCCAATGACGTTAATGCTCAATTAAAAGGTTCGGCACCCCACTCAGATAGAGTTTTTCAACAAAAGGTGAGGCTTTTCTATTCAACAGTTTGATCATTCTCTTCAGTAGCTGACGTTTCTCTTTCCAACCATTGACGCCAAACTGGTGATTCTAAAACATCAAGATAAAGTCACGTTCTGTGAGAGTTTTGTGTAAAACCATGTTTTTTTCCTAAATTCAGTATCAGTTGCCTTGTATCTCGTGACACAGAGAGCCGTAGGATGAGAACTGCAATTGTAACCAGAATGAGAATAACGCCGTTATTTAGGTAATCTCTACATCTCTGCACTATTTGTCACTTAAGGAGCAAAGATCGAAAATATATTAACTTGGTCGTGATATCCAAATCCATGGGATCTTTGGAGTTTTTAAGCAGTGTGAATTCAGAGAACCTTCTATAGAGAAGTGCTCTTGTTGTGGCAGCTATCGTCAGAACGTAATAATCACAAATAGGTCCGAACAAAGGATGCAGTCGGGAGATTGTGACTGATCTTTAGATTGCATCTCTAGGTTAGATTTTAATACATTAGATCAGGCTCCTTTTAGCTCACTTTGGATTGGGCATTTTTATTATGCCAGCGTGCCTCCGTTCATAAACCTCCTTCTAACTAATTGTACGCTGACGGAGATTCACGGTATAGTTCGTGGAATCAAGTCATCATTCCGAAATTACTTGCATGTGTGGCATGTGCACTGCTTCAAACGAGAAGGAAATACTGCAACCACTAATGGACACGTAGATCACAGCTAAGCTGAACTGAAATTGACTTAAATTAACTGCTCTGGGGTTTACTGGCGGAAGCAGGTTTCCGTCCATGGTGTTCACAAGCTAAACTCGAAATGGCATGAACACAGTGTTATTGGAGACCTTTGCTTCGAAATATAAACGGATGTTCTATGAGTACCGTTAGCCATTTTCATTGAAGCATTTTTTGCTATTCTGTTTCAACATTTGCGAATGTCTGATGACATCTGATACAAGTTCAGTCGGGACATAGTCAGACAACTAAATGGCTCATCGCTGTTTCACCTATTCACACCTTCCGAAGTGATAACAAAAAACGACATCGCGGATAATGTTGTCACAGGTTACACTACTGACGGAAACTGCTGATATGTCTCCGTCATACATTAGGTCGTTAAGGGGCCAGCCTATAGCCAAAAAACTGGCAAAAATAGAGGACTGGCCAGCCCCCAGTTCATAGTAGTGCCTCTGGGAGTTTCTCAGAAGAGTGACCAGTCTGTGAAGAATTTCAACACGATTGCTGTACGATTTCTGATGCGAGCAGAATCAAACCGTAACCAGCTTCTAAATTCGGACGATACGCCCGAACAGGTAACTAGTAGGTCAGCCAAGGATAACCTAGTCGATAACCTAGTCGACGAATCGAACATCTCTGGCATCCATTCAACATTTTTAAGGCGAACTTGTCAAGTGTTATATACTGCTGATGAAACAAGGAAGTAATGTCTAGTCGAGCGTCATATCTCAGTTCCCGCATTTAAAGAGCGCATTGTAAATCTCAGGAGAACCTTCAAGTATTTTCATCTTCAAAAAACTTTGCAAGTAAGATTCCTAACTTCGTGTCCACTATCTTGTGACCGTTTATTTCGTGTTACTCAACAAATAACTTCGCGCTGGACTGCGTCCTCCCGTTCAAGGGCAATAGTGCCCAAATGCTTTCGTAATGAGACGGAGCTTAGTAAAAATGTAAACACTAGGCAGCTTTGTCTGCGGGCTCAGCGACATGCATCGAGTGGTTTCTGATTGGGTATGCGTCATTTTTAACGTGGAGTGTCAAGGGGCTACATTTTTCCGTGCAGACCATTACTTTAATATTCTGCTTTGTTTCTACGGTATATATTATTCTACGGGATATATTAAATAGACTCAAATGCATTTCCAGGGGAAGAATCATTAAGTGCTAGTGTCCGGTGTCATAAGCCCGCAATAGACATGAAGCTCAGTAGAGAAAATACACTAATCATTTTTCAAACTTTTTCTACAATATGAAATCCATTTTACTGTCAAAGACGTATATATACATTTATAACTATGCTTGTTATACAAGAGAACTCGTCAAGACCTGACAAGCATAACTCACGACTTGATCATTTCCACCACAAATTTACTTTCGCCAGTCTGCAATTTGCAATAAATTATCAGTTTCGTCATAAGTAACTTACCTTGACTTCCAAACTACGGGACCGATAATCGGTATCCGGTTCTTCTGAGTCCTCGTCTGAACCAGGATATGTTGGAGAAGCAGTTTCTGTCATTTCCTCTTGCTGATACTCCATCCACATGCTCGGTGGGTGATGACATATTTGTTGACTTAGAGCGAGCTTCGAAGTCACACAGCGCCAGCAACCTGTAATATTTACTTCACGGTTGGAAGACCCCGGTTTGATAAGTGAAGAGGCTGTACAGTGCATGTATTGCTGCGTGAAAGAATTTAGGGGTTTTCATTTAGGGTGACTTATTGGGTGGCATAATTGTGTCAACCTTACGTACGCTTGCATGAGAGAAATTATAGCAGGAAAACAATGAATTGAAGGCAAATAAAGAAGTACCTTTCCGTATCTTAGCAATGTGTTAACATTGCTCACTTCGACGTGATCAACAGCTAAAAATGTTTTTCGGCACGATTATGCTGTCAGTGTGCCGCAATATTGTTAGCTCAGGTGCATTTACTGATGCTTGGTCAGATGACTGAGCTCGGCAGTCGGCTTGCAAACGTTTCGTCCCTAGCCGAGGAGACGTTTTTAATGAACACTGGCGTGTATGGGACACCCCAAATGAACTATCCAACCAATTAATGTAATAGGAGATATACAGAGTACAACGCAGCGCAAATCGCAAATGGGCCACCAGTATTTCAGGAATGGTTAACACCAGTTAGACAATCGCATGAGAAGGCATTGAGTACCCCTCAGAAAGCCACATAAACGCAGCTAGATGAGGAGAAGGGACCTACTCAAGTGATGACTTCATAACCACTGGGTACAAGGCTCTCCAAAAAGTTCAGTGGCCACCTGATCAAACTTCATTAAGGTAATGCTGAACATATAAATATAACCAAACGTTATAATTCCTAAACAAAAACAGTTATATACTTGCAGAACGGAATTTCTATTTTAATTACTACATGGAGAGAATCCATCAGCGGACTGGTCCATATTTTGGTTGATCCGATAACTGTTAGCTTCAAAATCCACTTCCACTCATTCCCGATTTAAGACGCAATTTGTTCGTGCTTGCCGCAGATCTTACCAGATTTAATAATGATATTCCTCATCATAGTTTGCGGCGCATAAGCTCCCTCGAGATCCCATACCGAAGATGGTGACTGCGGAGCTAGTGCATCGACAAATGAAGAGGTGTTTGAATACGACGAGTACACGTTTGTCGATTATCAAGGGAGACGCATGTGAGTCTCTGTTACATGATACCCTTCAACTAGATGTGCTGCATAAAGACCTCCTCATCTTCCAGTCGGTAGGATATCTGAGATATCGCAATTAATTGTATAGACGTAACACGCTACTCAGAATTTTAATGAAGCAATGACTCAGCGTATCTGTTACCACCTATATCAACATACAACAACTATACTTATGAAAACCCCTTTTTGAAGTTGGCAAATCATGAAAGATATGAAACTTTTTGCCTGACCTATGGAAATAAAACGATGGAAAACTAAACGGATCATTAGATGGGAGAACGTCATAAACTAGGTAGTCATTTGGGTCCTCCATAAAAACCAAATTTGTATACGAATGGGAGTATTTTGCTAGAATGGACCTTAATGCGATTTTCTAGAGCGCGGATATTTCGACGTTTCAGTGGAGATTTTACCGTGCACGTTAGTCCCTTTCCGCACAAAATTGTCACACAGTGTACCGTTGATTTACGCATCTAATGCTTTCGGACCATGTATTTCCGGTTTTGTTTTTAAATGCGCATGATTACGCTAGAGTATAATCTTGGATCTTTTCCTAAGTGCTTTTGAACATACTAGTCGAGGCGTTTAAAACGTTCTCCAATTTCGTCACTATTATCCGCATGCATATTTATGAAAACGAGTCAAATAACCTACGAGATGCCGGGTAGTATTGTGAGTTTCCCGTGTTGCCTACGTTTTGGACAGAACTATAGCAAAGTAAACGAGGGATTTCAAAGAGTTTGTTACGATTCAATTCTGTCCTTAAAAGCTAGTCATACAAGTTAAACACCTGGCCGTTTGGCCAAGTTTCGCTGATCAGCATTGTGATTACCTTTCACTAAAATAGGACATGGTGCCACTCATTCTTGAATAACGGAAAACCACATCACGTGGACACGTATTGACCAACTTCTTGGGTGACGGCTTCTCAGAAGGAAGTTTCACAATGAAGTGAGATAATTCTTCCCCTGGCGCAAAATTACGCAAACGATGACGAAAAATGTTTCTGAAAAAGTTGTCTAACGCTTAGGATGAATGCACAAACTTGTCCCCACAAGTTCTCATTGCTGACAACAGCCACGTTACACTGTCAGTGGATAAAATATTTCAAGTGTCGTCGAAAATTCACCCAAAAATATGAGAAATACTGTAGGGCTAGCTCAGTCCTGTTGGGTATCATTGTAAATAAGCAGCGCACAAAACTGTACAGCGATTTCAATTTAAAATTGGCTGGTGGACAGCTGAATAGTGGATAGTTATTAGCTATCCCTGAATGAGTGGTATAGTACTAATTTACCAAGTCAATCGTTGCAAGTTTCTGGCAGACCTCCAAAATGTGCACGATAAAATCTAGCAAGACTGAGACCTCTTTGCTGTATGTGTTAACTATTACCACTGCTACCTAGTGGCGTGCAAGAATAAGTGAAAACTGTTGACAAAGTGCGCGTCGTATGTGCAATACAAGGTAACGACTAACAGTGTCTATCAGACAAGGTCAACTATTCATCTCAGTATAGGGAGGAAGCAATACACGCAACGTACGTACGAGTAGTTTGATTAGACAGTTGTATAAAGCTCCTCGACCTTTTCGCAAGGACTGAATTGACATTCAGAAAAAAACAGCCAGATCTTTCAGAATTTCGTCGCTACCTACAGACTTCAAGTGGCGTGCTGAGAAACGATTCCATTTCAAGAGATCAATCAAACTCCTTTAAGAGGTTTGAAATATTTTATCCCATTCATCGTTGTATTTATATTATATTATAATATTATTATATAGTATATAATATATTATTATATTATAATATATATATATATATTATACTGCTACAGTCACTCCAACAGAAGATTATATGAGCATGATAAACGAAATGGTGGGTGAGTACTTAAAATTTCCACGATTTAAGTAGTTTGTCGATTACTCTCTTCATTACTGATATAGAGCACTGATATTTCCTGTCGGACGCTCTTACTCACACACGGCCTAACCTCCGTGTTGCATCTGAGCTTAATTCGAATTTCAGTCTAGATGTCCTGGGATCACATACACAGTGAATCTGTCGGTGGCTCACACGTCCGGATTGGAGAATCCATTCTTCTGCAGAGGAGGAGACTAGACAGCCAGAATCAAGTACAACAAATCTGATGAAGAACGCTTATTCAGAGCGTCTCATGAAAGTTTACAACATAGCCTTGATTCTCTCAGACAACACGAAAGATGTATTTGTCGCTTCAATACGAAGGTGCCCGCCAACATATGGTGCAAGATTCTTCTTACACCAGAGCCAAGTTACATATCCTACGGAAAGCCAGAAAAATTGCTCTTCACAAAAGTGAGCTTAGACTTCCCAATCATTTTGACTGTAACTTAACCTATGAGGTCTTCTGTGCTGCGTAGAAGCTTACATTGGCAGCAAAAAAACCCGCTAGCAGAATATGCAGCAGAACAAAGACTGCACTTATATCCGGATAACCGTCTGGCCAGATGTTAAATTGTAATCCCGTATTTTCAGAAATTAGAAATCCGTTAGATGCTGACTTTCAGATGGGCTTGGTTAGCTCTTCTGGAATCTTCTAACGCAACAAGAAACCCAAAATGTTAGCTGCTGATCAAATCAAACTAGCCAAGACTGCATGAATAACAGTCAACGCAAACCATTTACGTAACTGATATTGATTAGGCGACTTCCAGGATGTAAACACTTTATTCCTTCTTCACTTACACAGCTAGTATATGTTGTTTTTTTCGGTAAAAACGCACGAGGAATATCAACATATTGCACTTTATATATTTTCAGAGTTCTGAATAGCAGAAGGGTCATATGGCTTAGTTTATATACAAGAACGCTGCACATCTCAAGCGCTTGAATGTTTCAGAACAAATCAAACCCGTCGTTTCCTGAGCGCAGCAAACTCCTGATGTGTTTATTTGGTCAATCTGTGACCAAAGGATCGAGTCACATTTTGGCCTTGTGTGTCACTGTAAAATATTGGCCCGTTGACAATATGTTGTAAGGGGTGTGTGCACTCTAATTTGATTTTTCAATGTTGAAAGTAAAAATCTACACGGGTATGGAATCTTTAGCTTTGCGACGGGATATTGGTGGGACATTGAGGAGTTGTGATCGTTTTAAGGGAGCTTACTACCTTTTTTGCATCCACCTTATTTGTTCCACAGGATTTGCAGGTGATTTCTAGAGTATCGAGTCTGCTAATAAAAATGGTCTAAAAACTTATATTAATGGATGAATTTTGAAGCTAAGCACAGAACCATTTGATCAATTTTACCTCTGTGTAAACTTCTGACAATCGTGATATTTGCAAGCAGGTCAATGAATTGTTAACTAAGGGTGGCTTTGCAAAGTCCAAAAGATTGTCTACAGGTTTTAGGGTATTGACCATGTCTTTCACGGTTCGTATACGTGGCAGTTTTTTCAGTCGGATAGCTTACTGCCAAAGCGGTATATCCAATGGAATTTCAAAAATTTGACCCGAACTACTTGACGCGACGAGTGATGTTTCAAACTTTGTAACTCACTTTTCTTCCAATGTTTGTGCAATTGGTAAAATGGGTGATTCCGAGTGTCAGGTTGGCATCGGGTTTTCTGCAAGAAGTCTCCCCAAGCCACAGCAAGAACGTAATTCTGCGAACCGGTTCAGACTAAAAGATTTAGGCTGAACTGAACCGTAAAAAAATAACGTACCTGAACTTTTTCGTCGTTCATCATTCTGAACGTGTAGGTATACTCCAGCTTACCTTTTCGGTTGTACTCGAGAACAACTTTCAACAACCGTCCTTGAAATGGAGTGTCATTGATCTCATCAAGCGACAGAACCCGCACATCGGACCTTACAAAATTCATCCTCGCAAAAATGTTGGCATTTAGTGAGTTAGATACCTAGAACAAAATGGAATGAGAATCACTAAACTTGTGTGGTGCTCACACATTTCTCAGGGTTATCTACACATTCCGTCTGTCTGCAACGTTTGTACCCAGCTTTTGTGGGAATCGGTAGTGCAAAAATAGTTTGATTTACAGTCATGTTCAGTGATTAATGGGCTGCCGGCGTTTTCTTTAAGTCCGTGCTAAACGTGCAAACCGGCCCCAACTATGGGTCACAATTGTGTAATATCATCAGCCTATCTTTCTCAAGCAAGGGGCCATAAATTTAAGAAAAATTCACCTAATGAACTCAGCAGTAGTGAATCAGGGCATCTTTGTTCTAATCCGATCACTTCATAATATTCTCACTGTTTGCAATTTCCGCAGTTTGTGATGTTCACTTTATCTAACACTCCACTTTATTTAACAAATTTGTGCAGAACCAATCAATTTCAAAAGCGAGATTTACAGGACTGTGCGAACATCACCTTTCGGCTAACGAAGAATGCCTGGACTCCCAGAAACAGGGTACGCGTGCATATGTTTTGCTACAATCACAATGGGGTTGATTACTGCTGATGGTCTACACCTGTGTTACTCAAAAAGGCGTACTTCAGTCATGAATCAGATGGAAATGACCCTCAATGTATACATTTGAAGGGATAACTCGAAGCACATTGGCCTACTATTGGTGGTCTCTAAAGCATGGTACGATCATATCATAGTAATTAGTACCCCTGTGGTTTACTTATGTCGGTTTTTCCAGTAAACCATTTTGTAGTGCTACCAATTATCTGCGATTAAATTCTGCAAAAGTGAAAGCCGTCACCTTAGGAGAAAGAATAAGGTTTACTCGGAGAAAAAGACCGAATAACTTTCAGCTTCAAAAAACATGCGGTCACTAGAGAAGAAAAGTTCATAGCGACCGGACAAGAGGTGCAAATGCAGTATGTGTGCATCTACACCAGTTTAATTGAAAAATGGCAGGTGATATTGGCTAATCAAGTCGATATCCAAGCCACCCTCTTCATTAGTAAAATCTCCTTACGGATCTTAGGTTCAGTGCACAAAATCTACGATGTATACCCGGGCGACAAAAGAAAACACTGAACTGTAATTACTGAGTGAACTGTACCTATGAAAAGACGTTTTGAATGCCGATAGAAACAAAGGCTACGTTGAAAACTACTACGCTGAGGGGTTTTGGCCAAATTTACAAGCATCTTCGATTTCCCGAGCTCCTCACTATGGTCCAAACAAGCTGTAGAAACATCGACTGCTCGTTGGACCTGACCTGCTTCAATCGGGATAATATGTGCAACCTTTAAGATTTTACCAAACATGACTAGGCCAAAGTGGTAAGTATTTAAATTTCAAAAAAGTAGAGTGAATATATCAAGGGAACACGACTCACTGATTACTTTATCCGACTACTGAAATTATCAAGCTGAGCCACTTACATTGCATCTACTTCCCAAATCACAGCAGCTAGGTGACACTTTTAACACTCCGTGAGGACTTGAGCGCCAAGCTCCGTGGAACTCCAAAGGGACAGTTTTGCAGGCCAAGAAGTCTGGACTTTCGTAAGTGTCGTCGTAATAATTGAGGGCGCACTGGATCTCATCCTTGATTTCACGTGGACACTCCGGGAAGATGCAGAGAATTATGCATGAGTGTTATTATGCATGACGTCAGTAGTCAACGATATGTCGAAGGTGTGCGTTCAGCAAAGGGTGCATGTGTGAGGGTCGGTGAGTTAAACTATTGAAAGTAGAACACAAAAACAAAGCGCTTTTGCTGACAGAAGATCAGGTCGCGATGTCGTATGGCGATGGCTTCAGCCATTGCGATTGTCCCGTACTGCTGTACTGATCTGGGTTGATTAGCCGGCGCCTTGTAATCAACGCGGAAGCTTTAGCTGGGTGACACGTTTTGTGCCGCGCCTGGTAATTGTTGTACCACTGGACTGGCCATCGCCCTCCTAGTTCCAGAAGCTAGCCAGGGTTGACTGTGTTCCTTCTTTCTTCGACCGAATTACCGGTGTAATCCGCTGCACAGCGGCAAGAGAATGAGTATAATAACATATTATGGGCGTGGACAAACACTCTATCTTTGAGAATAAAGGAACACAGATGATTGCTTGTGAATCAGGGTCGGAGTGTTATGGCTGGGAAAACCTTGTTCAAACTGGTAGAAAATCTTTTGTTCAGTAGGTCGGCTGGTACATCTCCCTTAAACGGGAGGCTAAATTAGACGGGACTTCCAACTGTGGTGGTAACGGTGTTGGCTTCTTCATCTTTATAATAGACTTGTTGAGGAACCCGTTGTCTCTCAGGACGTTGGTGAGCGTCCGAATTTCTTGTTCCAGCGCGGCATCAAAGCATATTTTCTCAAAGAGGACATCATAGAGTATATGTCAAAGCACTAGAAGCTTACCCGAAATTACATCTTCATCAATGTCCCATGTGCTTCTCACACTCATGATATGCAAGTAAAAACTCATCGTGCCGGAATCTCAGTTGTTGATTTTACAATATCCATTTTACTAATCCCGCTTTGTAAATCAGACCAGAGGCTTCAGAATACAGGCTGGCCTTAACACTGATAGTATAAAATTGATGGCGTGTAGATCAACAGCCCCTCGGTTAAGGGCCGCGAAATTACTTTGCTACCAAGTTTTAGCTGATCATTCTGCAGTGTGCTTGCCTGTCTGCAGGGATGAGAATTGTTTTGAAGGTATTCATTAGGCATTTATACGTTTAGAGCATCAATGCCGCAAACATTCCGAGAGAAGGTGATCTATTCATCATGCTCAGACGAATTTCAGCAACATTTACTGAATGACCATGTGAATCCTTTCAGTCAGTTTTGATAAAAGGTTGGCAGCGGATCGACATCTTTTGGGATTTATACAATACAGAATAAAACACTGAATTGGAAAATTACGAACATTAGCGCTAAAGGCACACGTGTGATGTGCCTTGTTATGCCTTATTATGTAAGGTATAATGATACAAAATTCGGTAATACTGTCATATTCATTCGGGCCGTTCCACACATTCAGCTGATCGGTAAGCATGAGAACACTGCTTTAATGTGTTTTAGTGACATCGGAGGTATGAATGAGATAATACACTGCAGATAGATCTACCGAGGGATTTAAACGGAATAATTTTGCTTACCATGTTTGCTGTTAGAAGACATTCGTGTCCATTATAGTGCTTGTGGCAAGCCCTCCAAATACATTTCCGTGTAAGCTCTATGCTTGGTTGAACCAGCCGTTTTCCTATTATGACAAACTAACTAATCAGAGAGTACGCCCTACCTCCATTGACGCAAATCCTATGTGTTACCTTGTTAAAATGTACTCGTTTTGTAAGATATCGCGGTATCGCTTGTATCGGATTGCTCAAAAGTGCTAGGATTTTACTATGTTTTCATTTAGTCTTGCTCTTGTATAAATGAAGCACTGACCTCGGTCCAAATGTCGTAGGAGTCCTGCGTGTTCTTGGGGTCGGATTTCGGGCATGTCATCTTCGTTATTGTTACTTCCAAGTATCTGGCGTACTCTCCTCTACGCTAAAAAGAAAGTCTTTAAGTTGTAATGAGTAACAAATCGTCTGAAGTGACTCTGTCACTGTGGAAAGTTCATACAAACTTTTGTCTACATCACGATTGTCGATTCTTATTTGGGTATCCCTTATCATCCACCAAAATTTACCCCAATTCCAGCTTTTACACTTTTTCACCGTTTCACTGGAAACCTCGTCAATGACGTCGACCAACCAGATATCACCGTCTGTGATCTCCATGGAATTTGTCCAAGGCTTTTCCCGTGGTTGACGGAGCAGACTGCCACTGACTGAAAGTGCGTCCAGAAAGGAAGAAAAACAGATTAGCTTGCATGCCCAGTTCTGACAAGCAAGCGACATGATACGGCATAATTACGCCATAATTTTGCTCATCAGCTTCTGTTGTCTAACAAAACTTTGAGAATACAAACTTTCCAGTGCCTAAAATTCAAGTTAATCATCTTGAACAATACAAAAAACGCAGTACAGAATGATGGAGCCATTTTATTTGACAGTAAAAGTTGAGGTAAATGAATATTGGAAGTCCCCCAGGAGTTTTAAAGAGCAATTATAGGCGAGCAATAGGTGTTTGCAGTATGAACAGGCAACGTTGTGAGTATCCACTGCATAGGCACATTATCAATGGTCAGTTGTGATCAGTTCGTGTCAGTGTTGCGAACAATTTGTGCACTTCTTTTCAAGCGAATTACTTTCAATCAGTATTCCCATATGAAATTAGGTAGTTATACTGTGGGAAAGCAACAAATGCATATTCGCACTGCCGGTCACCTGTGGATTGAAAACGGTGCTCGGTACACTTAGCGCAATCATTGTTTATCGTTGTAAACAGAGCGGTTCATTATTTTCCAGCATGGCATTTCGCGATGAAACGCATGAATTAGCTCCTTATAACGGAGTGCCATGAACTGTACCGTAGATGAAGTGTAGAATACAGACAGTCACTTAGCTGCTGTCTCATCTGGACCAAACGGTCTTTACTTCTGAATTTTTCTATCAAACTTGCAGCTTGGTTGCTCGCTGAATGCTCTGACCAGTAACTGTTTGGTATTCTGACGAACTAACATGGAATGCTTGACGCATTTACTAGGTAAAACTGTTTCTCCGGTTCATTACATCTGAACCCAAGAAGCGAAGCTACCTTCACTCAGTAGTTCCCTGTATTGATGTGCGAAAAATTCCTCCGATGTGGCTGCCGATTATATGTCATCAATTATACTGAAATAAAATTCTGGCATTGGGAAACCGGCAAAATATTGTACCCATTTTATTACTGGAAGGAGTTCCTGTAAGCATTTCCTCTTCCAGTCTTTTTCAAACTACTGAGTATTACTTCACAGTTATTTTTCCCTTACTGAGAGTCCTCAAAAGTGTACACATCACGAAATTTCCGCAACATTTCAGCTGGAAAATTGGACTTACAAACGTTCATTCAAGAGTGGGTGATCAGCATTGTGACTGACTCATACTTAGATAGAATGCAGCTCTTCTCATCCTTCAGTTACAGAGGTTGCATCAAATGTTCAAATGTTGAATGTCTCCTTGCTCCACATATTAACTGAAGTTACTTTTCCACTGGGCTATTCACGAAATGACGGATGGTCTATGTTTATTACCACCTTTTATACGTCGTCAAGCCTTTTGCTTAATGTTTTAGGTCGCTGCTCCAAAAAGTGATCGCTACCGATTACGCACGTGAGTGTAAAACAAATTCGAGCTTTTTGGGCCGTTGCGAGAGACTGTTACAAAATGGAGCGCGAAAAATGAATGAAATGTTCCATTTCGGGGAAAACATCCTACATTGTTTGGTCAGATCCATCAAGCCTAATTGATTTGAGGTAATGATGATTTCCGACTGTTTTCATGCAGAGCTGGATTTTCAGCTAGGTGAATCCATCACAAGGAGCTAAAAAGTGTTGTCCTGATTGCCAGGAACGGCGAATATGCATTGTTGATTTGTAGTGAACAAACCGCCGACTTAGCTCACATATGAAGTGAACTAACTAGGACAACTGGTCAATGTCAAAAGAGGATTGACTAAACGAAAGTGGGCTGAAGATAGATAATGCATAATTCTCACGTCGTTACAAAAACTGTATATTCCATGAAAACAGCCACATTTCTGCTTTCAAAATTTGATGAGGAATAAGAAGTACACTTAGCTTGACAGAACAAGAGGTGGCATAACAGAATCCCAATTACGCTCCTTGAGAGGCCGCCGCTAAACGGAATCTTCTGTTGCTGCGGTAGGCATGTTTCAGAGTAATTGTACGTCTTACGATATGGTTCCCCAATCCATTGCTGCAAAACTGGAAGTTAGTTATTCTTAGGAGGTTGTGATGAGGGGTTCCTGCTCATCAAACTGTGTTCTTGTCTGGCGAAACTGAATAGAAACGGCAGCATCAGAGGAACTGACAGCCTAGGAGGTTTTGCGAACCAAGGCTGCTTGCTAACCGCATGGGACCCCCAATTCCATCTTCAACTCCGATCTAAACAAGAAACTTATTAGTTCTAGAAAGCTATCTACTCATAGACCTCACCACTCAGTAATCGCCCATGTTTGAGGTAAATCAACGCTATTGGGTGGAAAGATGTCATGCGGTTTCTATAAGACTGAGTAATGCTACAAAAACCGTTAATGTGAACCAAAATCTGCCATACTTTAATCATATGATACGTTGTCCGATGCAATGTTGGATTAGGTGACTGATATCGAGTTACCATTCCTAACTACCCTTAGTTTTTCCGTTTTTTAACATTTACATCTCGTTCTTTATGATAATTCGGATGGGTGGCAGCACCAGGTAACACCGTGGAAAATAGTAAAAGTAGGATGTCTCGTATCACAGCACAATAAAATTTGACGAGTTTGGAGACTCACCCCATTATTTTGGGCAACGCACATTGATCCTTTTCCGTTGAAGCCACGTTCTAGCATTTCTGTACGCATGCACTGGGTTCCACGCTGGCGGATATGGAGCTCGTAAATGATGCCGGGTGCAACCTGAACCAAAAGGATCTCCGCATGGACATAGGTCTGACACTTACACTTTTTGTTCCATCAAGATCGCCCTTGCGTTTGTGCCATTTCTCATGGTTTATAGCGTAGTTGCACCAGTAATTTGCTTCCTCTACGAGCTTGCCAAATGTTTGGGATGTAAAGTCTTCACTGGATATTGGCTGCCTGTCTCCAGTGTGCTGTGAAGCTGATGTGAGTAGACAGGTGGCTGCTAAAATCAACAGGGTTGCGACAACAAACATGACAAGGTGGTGCGTTTACTCTAAGCGATGCCAGGTAAAGGCCTATTAATTGTTTTAAAACTGACTGAATGTAACAAACTGATGCGCTTGTTCCGTATTGATGTGGATATTCAAAGCTTTGTTCCGCCTAGTCGAACTATTACCTGGGTAGAATAAACAAAGACGGTCGATTGTGTTTTTTAACTAACTGGTGGACCGACTGTATTGCTACTGATCCAAGAAAACCCTACAAAACTAGGGCTGATAGTTACACTGATTTTTTCATCTCGACCAACATTTCTGTTCCTCCAATGAGGGCACTGTAGCTTCAACCTACAAGAATATCACGATTAACAATTATTTCCATGTCACTGTGTTTTCCACGAATTCATGTTCACATTCCTCCTCTGAGTAAATCTGGCTGTTAATCGAGTGATACATTTTAAGAGCCCGAATCTAAAGAGCTGATAATTTAACTAAATAATTAAATCTATGAACGCATGGTTCCTGTTTTTGAAAGGATAAAGTGTGCTCCAGGATTTTAGCAGATATACTTGGAAAATATTTAGTTGAACTGTCCTCAGAATTCTAGTGGAACAGCCAAAAGTGGTATTCAGCTTAACGGCGCCGAATATCTTTTAATGCAATGTAAAATTTCTTTCGAGATATAAGAATGCCAGCAGATTACTATCATGCTAGAAGCTGAAGAAGAGAAAGGGATTTTTCGCGTGGGCATTCATGTGAACACGTGCCACTCAAGGCGCCAGCCAACCAACGCGCCACATCGAGTGTGATTTGCGTGATCAAAGCATAACTAGTATCTTGAATTTCGGTTGAAAACACTTGCTCAACCAATATTTATGGCTGAACGACTAAAGACCATTCGTTCCATTACCCCAATAGATTTGTGCATAGAAGAGTTGCTTAGTGCTTCTCAGCATTTCAAGTCAAATTAACTGGAAATGCAGCCCGGGAAGTCAAATGAACTCCAAAACTTCCCGCTTTGTCCAAAATTTGCGATGCCAGACCTGGAAGGAAGTATAAGTTAAAACTGCAGCTGAACAGCCAATGACTAGGAAACTCTTCAAACTTTCAACCACTACTGATGAGAACTGGTTAATAAAATTACTATAGGTAAAAGCATATCGTGTGCCCTAGTAGATACAACTATGTTGCCTAATTTACAGGATTGAATCACCATTTAGAACCAGTCCATCAGTTACCCTAACAAAATAACACTTTTGAGACGGGACTTTTACGCAATCTTGATATTATTAATTTCATCAAAATTCAGTAACGTGAGATTCGTTAGAAACCTCCGCTGTTTCATTATACTGGGATGCTTACCGGTAATTTGTCGGATGCTGCCACAGTTATACAACAGTGATAGTTACACGGAGTCCTGGAAAGTGCATGTGGCATGCAGTTTAATTGCCAGGTGAACCACGACAATTACAAGGCGAATAACCGTTGAACTGTTGGGTCCATTTTGCCTTACCATACAACAAAAATAAAAATTCTGGAGGACTGGATTCCAAGGACGGAAAGAATTTGCTAATTGACTTGTTCCAGAAAATGAATGGCGTGATGGAAGGTATATTTAAATGCAAAAGATAAGCCTTCACAACAAGTTTTCATGTCTGACCACCACAAATTAATAGACATCTGGCCAATTTGTAACTTGTGAGTTTGACTTGGAGGAGACAACGTAATGAATATTCAGTTACTACGCCGTACAAGATGGCTTCAATCATATGATGCTAGCTATCATGAGACAACCGGATGTACTTCAATGAAGATTTTTTCTGTGATTTAAAGACACTCTATGCTGAAAATCCGACAAACTCTGTACAACTGTTGCATCCTTGTTGAGAATCATGAGTGCACACACAAAGAAACTCAAGGGCGATTCGAACCAGTGAATTCCCACCCAGTGCTCTAAACGGTTGACTGTTCGTTCCCAGGTCAGTGAATATTGTGTGTGCTCAATAGTCTGTTGCTGGTGGTTTCCAGTCTCAATAAATATAAAGTCTCTGTTTTCGGTGGAGAACTGGGCGCATTTTTGCTAAAGACTGCTAGAGTGAGTAGGTATATTAGAGGAGTTTTAGTTTCTCAGTCTATATGAGATATTTAAAGCAAACTCTCTGACAATGCACCAAAAACAGGGATGCCATAGTTACGTGAGTACTTTTGGAAACAATGTATGATTCATCCTCAGGTTAGTGTTTTCTGCTTTTGCTTCCAACAGAATCTCTGGCAGTCTCGGATGCACATACATTGGCATACGGTTCAAGAATTACCTGATAACGGTCTACATTGCATGGCAATGCGCATAAATTCAGCAACTGTGAATTCGTATCTATCTGCTTTTGAATGCTATTTGCTATAAAGTAGAAAGCCCCACAAATCCAGAAACGTTATAGTACGGTTCACAATCTTTATAATCTATTGCAAAAAAGACCTTTGAGCGGCAAACAAGCCACCAACAACCACGGACACCACAGGAAAAAAACTGCTGCGTAATTTTGAAACGCATTTTCCTCTGGATTGATCGATTTCTATATGGTATGTGGAAGAAACGTTCAATTACCATTTTCTTACATTTATCTAGAAGACAGTGAAAATTTGTAGTAAAATTGTAGAAAAACTTTTGTATTCAAATAGCTGTCGAAATGGATATCGAACCTACATACATTATTCAGAAAATGGAGATTGTTCCATTTAATGATTTTTATTAGGCCCAGATCATTGTCGGTGATGCACAGAATAAAAACCCAACGACACACGCAACAGCAGCCTTTTAAATGATTCATACTCCCTACTGACTGCTAGCTTTGGTCCCAACAGAAGCTAACATAAGTAGTTTCACGTACTATCATTCGCATTAACAGTACACAGCTGTGGCTTGTTATGCCTTGAGAGTATCGCCTTAGTTCAACTGCTTTATTCACAGAAGGAAAATTAAAAAGCACTTCAACGAATTAACACATTTATTCACCTAGTCTTTAGAAGAGTTTGAATAGCAGCGTCGTTCAGCACGTCTTGGATATGTAAAAGACGTGCCAGTAACTGAACAACAAAAACTTTGTTTATGCGATCTTTTCTCTCCAGGTCCTCAGAGTGGTACTTTTAACATCACTAGAGGGCAAACTGCACATAATATCTGAAAGACACCAGGCAGTTCTTTAGTTCTTCCAGGCGCTCTGATAGATATCGGGCTGGAATTACAGAGTCCAATTTGCAGATGAGACCTGGAAATTTCGCTTCTTTGAAGACCCTTGCATCATTCGATACGTGGATCCAATTCGTAGGTAAAGGTTCATGGGTTTTGCATGCTGTATGCACACGTGCACGTTTCACATGCACGGCATCTAGGTTCGGTAAACACGGTATAGGCGATCTCACCGCGAGCAACTATATAGAATATGAGTGTGATGTTTATTTTTCGCCATAAAGTACCTTTTCTAAGGAGAACGTCATTATAATTTCGTCCAACTTTCAGCTTTGTTTTTATTAGCTTTCTGGCTTTTGTCGAAGTAACACTTTGATCTGATCTCTGAAGATGAAAGAGTCGCACGAACGACCAGCATCCCCTCAAAGCTGATCCTCCACAATGTCGGATTACAAGTTCACACCAAATTGCTTTGCATGAGTGTCATGGCCGAACTTCAAAGTTACTACAGTATCCTGTTGTCGCCAGAGGGGGGACGAGGCCAGTGTCCTTTTTATTTAACTTAGCCTCGAGACCAGTGTTAAAACTGCTTTAGGAAACCAAACACAAGTGAATTGCTATTCCACCATTGTTTTGGAATATATGACTTTTCTTTAGCAATGTCTCGGAAATACACTGAAACAATAGGTGACAAATGCTTTCCTGGCATCACATAGTGACGTCTTCAACAATGTGATGTTCGAAGTTGATTGTAAATGCTGAAGAGATACAAAATAGCATGAATGTTTGCGGAGCCTTGTGGTAGGCATTGATGGATAACAGAGTCCCCAACACACTCGGAACTTGTCCAAATGCAAGGATACCCGGTCACCTGCTGAGAATACAACTGGAGGGATGCAAAAACTCAGGTGATATTTACTCAAAAACTGTGATCAATTAGTATCCACCCCGATCCAGTGAAATAATTTGCCGTAACCCGAACGAGCACCTAATCCGACAAACAAAGCTGCTAGAAAACACACTAGGGTTGCCAGGACCAAGCTGGTTACATAACTGCGGGAAAAGAATGAAATGTGGACCAAACCAGAGATCCAGCTAGGTTTCAGGTAAGTGTCCCGTCAAAACTAAGGTAGTATGCAAGTGAGTGTATTTTGCTAAAGTGGAGAGCGCTTATTCGTCGTCTCCTGGCAGATGTTTTTGCCATGTCGACAAAAAACGTCTGAACCGAGGCTTGGATAGTAGAAAATCACTCTCCAAAACGTCAAATCCGCAAAATTTTCAGAAGTTTTTACCATAACACCTCTGAAAAAACAGATTGGATTAGCGCAAGAGCAGCAAAATTAAACGCGATAACAAACGTGCTGAAAATGGCAGGGAAGTAGATTTGGATGGCTTCCTTGTGAAATGTGTTATCTTGTTAGCGCTAAATTCACAAACTAGAGGCATAATGACAGAATGAGCTCAAGAAGTGAAAAAGTTACAAACGCACCTGGCACCTTATGGAACGCATACGAGGCGATCACCGTTCGCGATTTTGATATCAAGATTGCACAGTCTTGGGCCACTCCACTCTATTAGTGTACAGTAAGAAAAACAAAGCAGGATAACGCTTTTAACCCGATTACCTTATAGTGTTCACTTCAACTTCTTTGGATCAATCCTAGAGATCCCAGGACAGATTTTGTATTGTAAGCTAAAGATCGGAGGTCGGAATCGGCGGCATATGAAAGAAATTTGGCCTTCTGATCAAGTTTTAGGTAAGTGTGAAAACGCATATTTGCAAACTTTGATCAGGGAAAGGCCTGGTAACCAGGACAATTATGTTTCATTTACCACTGCTTGTGGTCAA